ACACATAGTTTCACTCTTTTGGAAAATCATTTGGCATAATACAATGACCTTTTAGTAATCTACTAGTATACTCTTGAGCTGTTTTACTCCTAAGGTTGACCCAAGAATATTCGTTGGCAGTGTGGCCAGAGACTTATGTGCAGAGGTATCTCACCACACTCCTAATCATCTGCATTAAGCTCACCATTGAGCTCACCATGCACCCTTTGGGTGCCCACTCTCTCTGTTTGCCCCTCAGTGGTGCTTGGAGGAAAACACTGTTGTCACCCCCAGCATAGGTGAGTGTGCTGAGCTTCCTGGGTTAGGGACCTGATGGGCCACAGTGCCAGTCATGACACAGGTGGTTTCTGCCTCACAGGTCTTACCCGACCCCACAGCTCAAGCTCACAACATTCTGTCCACAAAACTGGGAAGGGGCCTAAATGTTATGAAGGAAAGAAGTAAATTTTTAAAATTTTTTTCAAAAATACCAGATCCATGTTATGGTCTACTTATAGCCTTAACAGATTTTGTTTCTAAAGATTTATTATTTTTATTTTTAAACTGGACCAACACATGTCATAAACCATTTGGTCATTTTATTTATTTATTTATTTTGTTAATCCTCACCCAAGGGTATTTTTCCATTGATTTTTACAATGAGAGTGGGAGAAGGAAAGACAGAGAGAAACATTGATGTGAGAGAAACACATCGATCAGTTGCCTCCTGCGCGAGGCCCGACCAGGGCTCAGGCTGTGGAGGAACCTACAACTGAGGTACATGACTCTGACCAGAACTGAACCCGGGACCCTTCGGTCCACAGGCCAACACTCCATCCACTGAGCCAAACCGGCTAGGGCTCTAAATATTTATTTTTTTATGACAGAGACCATTGCTAATCCTATAAAGTGAAGAGGGGAGAAAAAACAGATTCCAAATTATGTATTTAGCCTGAATCCAATTTTATGTGTTACACGGACACATGACAATTGAAACATTATTTAAAAGACCTCCAGAGCTCTATTTTCATGTAGTGGATCTCACTCCTTCATTTCTCATTGGCAAATAGAAGCCTAACATGGTCCCTGAGGTCACCCCATGTAAGTTATTTAGTAACCTTCCTGTGAGCTTCTAGAAACTTCTATGTAAAATGTGAGTAAGAATTCCCAACACTTAAGGTTGCTGTAAAGTCCAATAGAGATTCCAAAAAAATGTACTGTAGCTATTATACTGGTTCACACAACACATACGCAATTAATAGTTAATTATTACTATGATCATGATTCATGTTTCACTTTTCCCATGTGGTTTACATCTTACTGTATTTTTATCTTATAGTTCTATTATTGATCATTACTAGAATAAAATAGGATTCAGAATTGGATGTATTCTACCTTGTAGATAAAAGTTCTGAAAACCAGCCTGGCTGGCATGACTCAGTGGTTGAGCTTCGACCCCTGAACTAGGAGGTCATGGTTCAATTTCTGATCAGGGCACATGCCTGGATTTTGGACCGATCCCCAGCGTGGGACGGGCAGAAGGCAGCTGATTGATGATTCTCTGTCATCATTGATTTTTCTATTTCTCTCTCCCTCTCCCTTCCATTCTGAAGCCAATAAAAAATATATATTTTTAAAAATTTCTGAAAAGCAGTTCTGGCTGGGTAGCTAAGTTGGTTTAGAGCATCCTCTGATAATACCAAGGTTGCGGGTTTGAGCCTGGTAAAGAACAGTAAATCTGTCTCAATCGGTCAGTGTTTTTCGGTGGCTATCAATAGCACAAAAAGGGTGAAAAAGGGTCATGTCCCTTGTGATGGAAGCATACAGCACCATCTAAAAGTCTTCCTAGCCAAACACACCTTAATCTGATTATGCCTCTATATTTAATTGCCTGTCTATAGGAAACATCTATAGTATTCCCATATGTTTAGGTCAAAGAAGCATGTTAAATGACACCATGTAGATGGAATCAAGTAAAAAAATCTTGACTGGGGAATCCAGATTACCTGATTTCTTCAACAAATAACCTACAAAATAAAAAAGGAGACAAAATAGAGCACTAATAACATAAATTGGGACAGTACTGATCTGATTTAGATAGAAGTTCCAGGGTCCTTGTGTTGTTGGGAGAAGGGTAAAAATATTGATGCACTTTAGTTTCTAAGTTCCATATACTCATAAAATTCTTGCCAACCACTAAAAGAATAGAAGAGTGTATGATTTCCAGGCCAGGAGATGGGCTGCAAGGGAGACAGCAGCAAGTGCGACAGGGGTGGGGGGAGGTGTCAACTGAGGAGAAGAAAAAGAAGCAGTAAGTTAAGAAAATAGTTACGGATTCAGCTATATCATTCCCAATAAGGATAAATGAGCTACATTCATAACATTGAAGAATGGCAGCCTGAGGGGAAAATCCAGTATATGTTCACATGAAACTCATCTAAAACATACTACAGAAAGGTCGAAAGTAAATTAATGGACAGGGTTAGGAAGCCAATCTTATCTCTTGTAAGAGACAAACATTTTGTTCTCATTTCAGGTTAAAGAAAAAGGAGTTCAGTTTGGAAGAAATATACACCAACAAGAATTATAAGTCTCCTCCTGCGAACAGGTAGGTGCATAGGAGTTGGCAGTAATACATGGGGAGGGCTTCTGACATGATCAACGTAAATCTCTAGTCCTTTAACTGCAGACAGGGTATGCTCAGTTCTTCCCATGTCAGGTCTTGGAAATTACTAGAATTGTTGCTTTTAGTTCCCAGCATTTGAATTGGGGTCGGTGGTGGGATGGGAAAGAAATGTATATTGGGTTAGTTAATACAGAAAATGTAGTCTCCTTTTAGTCTGTACCGGAGTTTTTACTGAATATGCTGTCTGTCTTTTGGACTAATAATCACTGATATTGCATATGATTCGAACATAGAAAAGGTTTTACTTGGCTGCCTTTGGCTCTAAATTCAGTTCAAGTCATTAGACTGTATTCCCATCCCCCCAAAAGTAAATATCTGAGGTGATGAGTGTGTTAACCCCAATGTGTGAATCCTTCACCAGTGTGCAGTTATATCAAATCACAGTATTATGCTTTTAAATATCTTACAGTTGTAGTTGTCAGTTATACCTTGATAAATTTGAAAAAAAACACACACACACATTAAAAAAAAAAGATACTGGCCAGAGGAAATAGTTGCCTACGGAGTTGGTGCAAACAGCTCTCAGCCCCTGTTGACTAGAAGTGTGATTTGTGAGTGGTGTGTTGGTGATTGTTTTGTGTTCCACTCTTAGGTGCTTAGAGACCATCTTTGAGGAACCGAAGGAACGAAATGGTACGCTGATCTCCATCAGCCAACAGAAGAGGAAGCGAGTTCTTGAGTTTCAGGATTTTACTGTCCCAAGAAAGAGGAGAGCTCGTGGGAAGGTCAAGGTGACAGGCAGCTTCACCAGAGCCCAGAAGGCAGCCCTGCAGAGTCGAGAGCTGGATGCCCTTTTGATACAGAAACTAATGGAACTGGAGACCTTCTTTGCCAAGGAAGAGGAAGAGGAGCCATCACCTGGGTGTTGAGAAGCAGTTTGGTTGGAGCGTCTCAATGTTAGATTCCCCAGGTCTCCTGGGAAGAGGTCGCATCAGTTTGCCCAGTGCCCAAACCACTCAAATTGCAATCCATGGATTTTTACTGCTTCAAGGTGCAGCCTCTTTAGAAACTGGTGGCGGAGGGCCCTCTACTTCTACTGCTGAGTCTAGAACCTCAGGAAAGCTCCCTTCCTTCTGGAAGTGGTCCTGGGTGACATGGGGCCGCCGCCTCCCACACTCTGCCATCCGCGGAGGAAGGCGCAGCGCACCTTCGACAACACTAGATTCCAAGGCCTCCAGCACTGGCACGTCCCTGTGAAAGTCCCACGCTGTTGACGGTGGTGCTAGACCAAGATTGCTCACAGGTGTTGCCTAGGGAGGGGGCCCGGCGTCCTCGCCTGAGTGGCCTCACAGCTCATTTCGGTAGCTGAGGAACGATGAGCCTGTGGTGTTTTCTAATCCTTTGAGTCCGTCTGCCCAGAACCTGGGGTATATGTGTGTGTGTATGCGTGTGCGTGCGCGTGAGTGTGTGTGTATATGTGTGTGCGTGTGCGCATGTGTGTGCGTGTGCGCGTGTGTGTGTTTTCCCATCATTTTTTCCTCCCCTCTGTAACTGTGGGTCACTAGTGCCAGAGGGCCGTCCAGGCCCCATTCAGAGTAAGTTGCACTTTTTAATGTTGTGTTATTTTCATTTGTTTTATTCCTTTTTTTAAAATTGCTGCATGTTCAGAGCCTTTAAATGTGATTTTAAAACAATTTTTTAAGACATTGAGGAGAAAGATAATACATGTCTGCAGAATAGATGGTAGGTGTTTGACCCAGTGTATCTGCATGGTCTGGGACAGTGGAGAGACACTTTTCCATCCACGTGTTTCAGCAATCCCTTCCTCATCTCTCTCTGCAGTTCATTAGAGGGAGTACTTTTTTCATCTGGGTTCTCATTCTTGCGTGCTAAGTAGATGTATTAATTTTAATGGCGGAAGTAAGAGCAGGTTTCTCTCCCAATCATTTTTAAAGTGTGATGGTTGGGTGTGTCTTTTAATGGATTTTTATCTGAAGTGTTGGAATGTAACAAAGTTGACTACAACAGTATAGGTGGTGTTAGAGGCCGACCAGTGTGTTTGCAGCTGTCAGAGCAGCCGGCCCTGAGAGTGGGGAGGGGCCGCCGCGGTTCAAGCTCAGTGTGTTCTTGCGGTGGGATCATGAAATCCCACGGCCGGCCGGCCCCTCTGAGGACACCTCTTTGTTCTCTGGGCTCCTGTGTCGAACCTACTGGAAATGTAGAATGCCTGTGCTTGCTGAGCTTCTTTTGTGCCCACAGGCGTCTGGGCAGAAGGATGCTGTGGGTTAGCAGTCCCAGAGGTTTCACTCCTTTCCCACTAATCCCTGTGTGCCCGCACCCTGCTTCCCCTGCCCTTCTTCCCTTGTGTTTTTTTCCTTCTCTCTCCTCTCTCTCTCTCTCTCTCTCTCAAAAGAAGAGTTCAGAGAATTACATTCCTTGGCTGGTGAATGGAGTACTAGACGCAGCCTCAGGACACTGGTCACCTCTCCCTGTCCTCCTCAGAGCCACTGCAGAAGCCGCTGCCAGTGGGAACTGTCCCAGCGCCAGGCACTTGCCGCCAGGCTGCTAGAGGAGAGAGAGAGGTGCCGCCCTGGGGTGTGTCTCCTGGGTTTCTTTTGTTCCCCATTTGTCAGTGGGCAGACGGGTGGGGTGGGAGGTCTCTATGTGCCTTTCCTTTGCAGGTGGACAGTCTGTGCCACACCGGAGCAGTGAGACGGGCATCAGCCGGGAAAACAAAGTGCACCTCTGTCTTGGGCCCCTGTCTCAGACAGCGCCTAGTAAGTCCCCTACACACCTGGGAGTCCCCGAGGCTTCTCGGGCCCAGGCCAGATAGCGTTAGGAGAGGGCCGGGCTTCCCCCGGCTCTGAGTGAGCGAGCCCCTTCTGCCCTTGCACATCCACTTGGCCTAGAGCCCTAGACCGTGTGGACACGACCTGTGTTCACCTCGGTACTTCTCCCTTCCTGGGACAGGGCCCCTAACGCTTCTGTCTTCTTGCTTTAGGAGTGGGTGAGTGATGCCGTGTGCCCTTGTCCAAACGTGTTTAGGGAAGTACTGCTGGACAAGCTTGCAAACTCCCAGTGAGTCCACAGAGCCCTGTTTGCCAGCACCCGTGCGGTGTAGCCGAGTCAGCGATGTGGTGGCCCCGCATCCCGCAGGCTGAAGTTGAGATGGGCACACTGTGGTATCACCAACTTTACAATAACGACTTCAAGTTTGCCCGTTAGTGGCAGGGCATTTTATGGGCCAGCAGCAGTGATTTGGGACACTGGTGTCTGGGAAGGGAGAATTGGAGGAAATGGAGACCTGGGTTCCTTCCTCATCCTGGGAATGTGGGAGAGAAGCTGCTCTGAGGCCAACCTGTCTATCCCTGAAGTTCTCGGCATGCCCTCTGGTTAGGGCCTTTCCCCACCGCAAAGTTAAGAATGGGTCCCCACTGCGAACTTGCCGCTGCTTGCCTAAAGTCGCTAGAAGGGTTCTAGCCATGCTCAGGCACACGTGTCTTACCTCTGTCCTCCCCGTTGGCTAGCAAGCTGCAGCGCTGTCGGTGGTCCTCGGAGCCTGTGGGACCCGCCAATGATTAGGGATGTGAGTCAGCTGCTGGCACACGGCCTGCCCCGAGCGTCTGGTTCTGGTGGGCCCTGGTACAGTTCCTAAGTTTGGGGACTTCCTTCCGAAGTGGCAGGGAGTTCTAGTTAACCATAACGTACTCAACTCTGGTGTAGTGTCATTAATGTGGGAAAGAGGAGAAATCTCAGGTCCAGTTGGGGTTTCACCCATCAGTTTTTCACCGAGACTTTGAACTAGGGGTTTTCTCGTCTTTTAGTTTACAGCTGTATTTGCTTTCCCACCCACCTTCCCCATCTCTGTTCCTTTGGCCTCCTTTCCAGCTTCATTTCTTCATACCTCATCACCTTTTAAACCAGATTATGTCCACTTTTTCTTACTGACCTTGCTCTGAGAGCTACAGCTGAGGGAGGTACAGTGGAGAGACATGTAGCGTTTGCCTTATTGGAGCCTGAAAAGCTCAGAAACTCATGCTGTGAATCCCAAAGCTCTGCGCTCCTCCAAGAGTTGTGAAATCATGACCCTTTGTCACATTTTTGCCTGAAAGAGCCTTGATGGGTGCCAGAGCCAACCTGAGGTCAATTCCAGATCCCATCCTCCAGGCACGACCCCCCGTCCCCCACGGCTCCGTCCCTGCCCGCCAGGCCAGGAGCTGCACCAAGGAGGCAGGGCTGGGGCAGGTCCTCGAGCTTTGGGCAGCCCCGTGGCACATGGAGCCCGTGGTCGTCTCCAGGCCAGAATGCCACTTCACAGTCCCATGTGCGTCAGCGTCCGCAAGAGACCAGCTTTCGGCCGTGGTCCTTTTCTCCCGCTCCCTGGGTGGGAGGGTGGGCGCAGTTGGTGCTTTTAAAATTCTCCTGTTTTGTTTCTGTAAGCTTTTCCCCTGGTATCATGGAAAGGACCTCCTCATCACCACCTTGTGGGTGGCTGTATCCAAAGTCTAAATAATTGGCCAGATAATGTGGAGCAACCTTTCCTGAACTCATGGGAGGGAAGGGCTCCTGCACCACAACTGAACTTCTTACGTAAAAGGCTGGCTGGGGAGGAAGGCTCCGTTTTATCACATCAACTGTAGTGCTCTCCAACCACAGATGGAGCAGCAAAGGCTATTCGATGGTAAAGTGAGGGCCCCCGAGTAGTCCACCCTCCAGCACAGCATAGTCCGATCTGATGCCTGTTCATTGCGTGTCTTCACGAGTCCCTCTCTGGTGCTGAATTGGATTTGAATTTTGGTGAGAGGCCTCCGCATCTCCTTGGGCTGGGCTGGCCAGTAAGTAGCTGCCTGACGTGTTTATATATTATCACGATCAATAGTTCAGTGAGATTTTGTACATTTTTTGGTAACATTGGCATACATGATGCCCCTGCAGCTCCTGTTCTGTTTGGTAGTTTGTGCCTCTAAAATTCCCACTGTTATGTGTGTTAATTTATGAAAATAAAGAATTTTTGAAACCTTTCAAGTAACTCTCCAGGCTGTTATTTTATTCTTATGGCTTGGCATTAATAAGTTAAAATTCTGCCTGTAATGTCATGAGGCTGGTTTTTTTAAAATAGGCATCACAAAGTTACCATCAGAACAGGCATCATACCTTCCAAGGCGACCACCAGGTTCTGAGGACTGTCCTGTGCTCAGGACGTGGGGCACTCCACCTTCACGTGCCTTCCGTGCTACCATGAAGCTTTTCTTCCTTCCCTTCTCTTTGTTCCTTTTGTTGTTGCTAATTCTCATCTGAGAATATTGTTTCCATTGATTTTTTAAAATTGATTTTAGAGAGGAAGAGAGAGAAACATCAGTGATGAGAAAGAATCATTGATGGACTGCCTCCTGCACTTGCTCTACTGGGGGTCGAACCCACAACCCGGGCATGTGCCCTTGCACTTGTTCGGTTTCACCATTACTTGAGGAGTATTCTACACTTTTCCTCTGTGTAGAAGGCAGAGGCTAGTTATCAATTAAGGTGGCGTTATTCCTTTAACATCTTCCATCTCAGAATCCTAGCACTGGTAGGTCCTCCTGAGAATAAGAGGATTAGTCCAAACTGTTTTAAGAATTCTCTCAACTCCTGGACATGGACAACAGTGTGTGACTGTGGGGGTTGATAACAGGGCATAGAGGGGATAAATGGTGATGGGAAAAATTAAATTAAAAAATGATGGTCTTAAAAAAAGAAAAGGTCTCTGGTGTCCTGCCCTCGGCTAATATGGAGACCTCGTTTCTGCAGTTCCTTCTGGGACTTCTCTTGAGAAGTGTTCTAGCAAATTCTTCAGGCAACTTCCAGGGTTCATAGGTGAGTTTTTCATAACCTCAAATTCCAGTGTCTTCTCCCTCCTCACTGACAGTTGATAACTTTGCATTTCACTGAGATAGAACCTATTTGAATAGAACTTGCACACGGAACCTTTGCAGTTACTTGAACAGACTATTGTAAAATACAATTTTTAACCAATTTTTTTTAATGGAGAAAAGGGTCCATTAAGGAAAACAAAGGGGCCACAAACGCAATAATGCAGCTCAGCCCCCACCATTCAGTTTGCAAAATCACAGGGATTGCATGCTGGTTCTTAAATGTTAGGCTAATTCTGCCCCCTAGTGGCAGTAGGGACATTCCGAAGAAAGCAATGCCCACCCAGGAGCTGTTGGTCATTCATGGCAAAGCCCGGCCTGGGTGGCTCCGTGGTTGAGCATCCACCTGTGAACCAGGAGGTCACTTTTCGGGTCCCGGTCAGGGCATCTGCCTGGGTTGCAAGCTCAATCCCCAGTGATTCTCATCATTGATGTCCCCCCACGTCCCCCGTCCATTCCTCTCTGAAATATATTAAAGAAAGAAAAAGGGCAAATCCAGCAGCAAGAGATAACAATCTCGAATTCTCATAAACATTAAAATATGTTAAATAGCCTTAACCGGTTTGGCTCAGTGGATAGAGCGTGGGCCTGCGGGCTCAAGAGTCCCGGGTTCGATTCCGGTCAAGGGCATGTACCTTGGTTGGGGGCACATTCCCAGTGGGGAGTGTGCAGGAGGCAGCTGATGGATGTTTCTCTCATCGATGTTTCTGACTATCCTCCCTTCCTCTGTAAAAAATCAG